TATATATATACACATATATATATATATATATATATATATATTTATAAATTGAGAACACAAATAAGTAATAAAAGAAAATTTTCAAACTCACATACACATAATTAACTTATAATGACCTTAAAATATTTGCAATAATATACGTAATTATAAACTACTCATATCTTACATTATTATTTCCAATATTTACATTACATATTATTTTACTATTATTTAGAGTACATGCCTTATATACTATATTTTTTTTTCTACTATTACTACGATAGTATTTACATTGATGGTGAAAATAAGTTTACAATAGGATTTGTATGATTTTCTGGTGGTAAAAAGAAAGTCACTATAATAGGTCCATCTATAATAGTGAGATTTTCTTGATTGGGAAAGAAAGCGAACAAAGACAGTCCTATGTCTTGGAACGTGACTGAGTTAGAGACAACGTCTACACTCCAATTACTCCCAGGAAAGATGGCAGTGATAATTACTGTAAAAGGACCTGGAATGGCCGGTAGATCCATCTATTTTATGATATATTAAATTTTTCACAAAAAAAAATAAGGAGTGAGAGCACTTATCAAATAAATACAATTAATTAAATAAAGAACAAGATTGTCTATAGTAAACATAAAAATTAAATTTTTATTGTTATAATAAAATTTGAATTATTTTAATAGTAACTAGTAAGGATAAATGAACATTATCGTAATATCAATCAAATATCAAACAGGATATTTCACCATAAATGCTTATTCATTTAAATCCCCAAGGTCGAACCTTCAACTACAAATAATTCAAACTTTATCTTCTATGGCCATAGAACAATATTTATCTTCATAAATACGGGAAGAAATAACAACAAGATGAGTCCAAGACATCACAACTATATTATAATTGATTATAAAATATATTTACAATAAATATATTTACGTAAAAGGAATATATTAAGAGTACAATGATATAAATAAAAAATGAAAATCATTATAAAATAATTAAACAATATAAAATATGAACACCTTAATATTTATTATGGATAAAAATAATCATAGTTTAAGTAAATAAATGAGGTTAGGGATACCCCACTAAATAAATACACATAGAAAATAACATAAATAAATAAACATAGTAGTATATAAAATTTAAAGAGATAAAGTTCTCCTCCTCCTTACCTTGGAATGTTGACTTATCAAGAAGTAGTTGTGTAAATATTTTATTCTCTTTCTGCTCACTTCGCTCTCTTTCTCTCTTTCTCTCTTCTCTTCCTTCTCTCTTTTCTTACTTCTCTCTTTTTCTACTTCCGTCACTTGTGTCTCAAATTTTACTGCAGATGAAGCCTATTTATAGCATGAGAGATAATGATTACATAGTTGCTATCTAATGGTAAATTGATTTCAATTAATTTAGTTTCATTACCATTTACTTCTTTTGGTTACGTATAAATAGCTTAGAATTATTTGAAATCAGTAGATAAGATTTTTGAGCTGGGTTTATCCGTGCATTTATTGCAGCGAATTTTCATTTTTTTTTTGAAATCACTAAAAATTTCAGGGAGAGAATTTTGTTTGTTTGTAATATGCGTATAGATGTATATATATATTTATATATTTATATGTATTTTTATATATTTATATATAATAATCCAAATGTTTATTCTAAAATTAAATTTACAATATATATATATATTGTAATAATTTATATATAATTTATAATTAAAATATTACTCAAAAAAAATATATTATAAACAGGATTTTTGAATATAATTAAATATTATATATTTTCATTTAATTTCTGAAAATTTTACAATAAAAATTTTAATGTATTAAAATTATAAAATATCATACTTATTTTCTATTTGTTCTTAAAATATAATAACAAACAAAAAAAATGATTATTATTTTAAAAATAATATAATAATATTGTATCTGAATTTTAGAATGTTACACAAGACATTTAATGAATGATAAAAATTTAAAATAATAAAATTCAAATTACATACTTTAACCGATTTTTTTTTTTTTTTTTTTTTTTTTTTTTTTTTTTTTATAAATTTCAATCGACTGTCTTTTTCTAAATCAATCCATCTTATTGTATATTTGTACAATGACAATAACAAGGTTAAAATCTACAATTTTATACATATTATGCACTGTTCCACTAGATTGAGGTTCAATCCATTTAACTATATTAATGACACGCTCATGGTTTTTTTTTATCCTTTTTTAAGAGTAAAAAAGATTACAATAATAATATTAAAAATCAAATCTAAATTCTCATACATCAATTTTAATTTTCAACCTCTATACTAACTTTAGTATTTTCATGACTTTTGAATTTGAAATTAAGATTTTTTCCATCTTTAAATTTTGATTTTCAATATTAAATTCAAAATTTTCAAAATCTATGATTTTGTCATTTACTAGTTAAGCATACTTGAACAAAATAATTTATAATAAAAACAATTCTTTATTTATATATTTTTTTATAGTATACCTAACGTATTTTCTCGAGCATTAATGCTACATTAAAATTTCAAAGCTCTAATTTTAATTAAAAAAGTAAAGCAAATATTTAAGATACTAAATGTCACTTATTAAAAAGAAGACTGATTCGTAACATCTTAATTATTTAAATATTAAATAATCAAAACCATTTTTATTATTGAGCATAAAAATTTCAATCTTTCATGCCCATTAAGGGATTTTTTTTTCAATCTTTCACACACACATATATAAATATAAAATTTATACAAACATAAAAAATTCTTCCAAAATTCAATGATATAATAATAGTTATCCTAATTTTATTAATGTTTCTAAATTTGCAACAAAACTTCACCAAGAAATATAAAGGAAAATTATCAATAATGCAAAATATAATTAGTAATTATTTGAATTTCTTAAATATTTATGGTCGTGTATAATTTCTTAACAAACTTACACATAGTAGTGTAATTTTTTCAAGTATTATTCTCATATCAAAATTAGAATTTCACTTTAATTATATAAATAATAAATAAATTTATTAAATATTAAATATATAATATTTATACTAATACATAAAGAGAATATTATCTTCAATAACTATTTTTAGTTTCTATTTTTACATAGATCATTTTATTTTTTGGTTTATTTTTTAAATAATTTCTCATTCTTTTCATTTATTTATTTATTTTTTCTTTTAATATAATACAAGCAGAGTATTTTTTTCCTGTTAGTTAAAATAAAATGATTAAAGACCTATTTAAATATTTAATTTTTTTTTAATTGAAAATAAAAATATTTTTAATTAAAAAATTATAAAAAATTTCGTTGCTAAGATCGACTGGTTTGTTTGTTTGTTTGTTTTTTTTTTTTTCCCTATTGGTAAGAGATAAATTGGTTAAAAAACAGACATTGTATGATTTGAACTCCTACAGAAGCAATCACCCCAAGCCACGTGTGGAGTAGCAGACACATGGTGACATGGTCCAATGAAAATGCCCTAGAAACCATGTATCTATAGTTCGCGAAACAGAGGATCCAGGCCACGGATGAGGATTTAATTGTTAATTTTTGTTAAAGCACAAACCACAAACCCCGTCTTCTCCTCCCTCGTTTCCCACACTCCCACTCAACCATGGAAGCAACGCGATTCTCCACTAATCACTTCCATCCACACTGCTTCCAAACGAGACCCAACGCATTCAGAGGTACGTTTCCCGCACGTTATCGCTTTTATTCAAATGATAAACCATTGTAGCCTCTTATTTCACGTAGCAGGAAGAAGATACGCAAAATGCACCAACGGAAATGGAGCTAGGGTTTCGCTTTTCGCAATCCCCGCATTCAAGGCACCCAAGCCGAACCGGACTCTCTCGGTTAACTTCTCCGACCGCCTCCGAAGCGACTATGTACGCGTCGAGGCTCCGAAGAACGAGGATGTTCTTCCGGCGAGTCGCGGCGGCGGAGGGGAAGCGGTGGCCGCGTCCTCGCCCGGCGCTGACGGCTCTGGAACACTGGAATTGAAACCTAGAATGTTCAGAAACAGGTTTCTGAACTTTGTGCGTTTGGGGTCGGTGATTAATGGTGCCGCTGAGTCGTTTTTCAAGAGCGAGATTCGGAGGAGGCTGTTCGTGACGGGTGTGCTGATTGTGATTAGTCGCGTTGGTTATTTTATTCCTCTTCCTGGGTTTGACAGAAGGTTGATACCGCAAGACTACTTGAGCTTTGTTTCAGGGTCTTCTGTTGGTAAGTTCGGTTGCACCATTTGTTGCTGACATTTAGTTACCGTGCGTTGATATAACTTCGTAGCTCTTGCAACATATGGCCGCGGTTTATTATTCTCATTGGCAAATGGTAACTGAGTGATACTCATTTTGAAACCCCTGCTAGCCTAAAAGGACCATAATTGAATGCAGGAAGAGAAAAAGTTTTTGATTACCTTTTGGTCCCTAGTTTCATTAATTTTACCCTTTTATTATAGTTAAAAATGTTCCATTTTATTCACTGTACATGTCATTTTTGTTTTCTTTTAGTTCTTCTCACCTAATTCTATAGGAACTAAAGGATAAAATTTATGAAATTATAGAGATTAAAAAAGCAAAAACACTATGTAGAGGTACTAAAATGGAATATTTTTTATTACAGGGACTCAAAGGTAAAATTGATGAAATTTTAGGGACCAAAATGGTAATTAAATAAAAAAATAATTAGGAATGTTTGGGTGAATTTTCTAATGGGGTTAAATGACAAATTTGCATTGAGCTGATTACATATTTGATCTCAAACTGGGTGGTGGCTCAAGGTGGCTTGTGAGAAGGAAAGTTTGGACCATTGTGTTAGTGTTTTTGCTAGAGCAATTTTTTGCTTGGATATTTCTCTGAGTTTATAGATGTGAACAGTCATTCATGTAGCTTCTGGCAGATGAACTTGGTGACTTCACCGCTGAGCTCAAGCTATCTCTTTTCCAGCTGGGAATCAGTCCTCAGATAATAGCGTCCATTATTATGCAGGTATATTGAGCTTGTTGGACAGATATTTGATGTAAAAGTTTACTTTCTGTTACTTTGAAGGCCAAAGGATGTCAAATAGGAAGCCAACGGTGTTCTTTGATCTTTTTGCTTGCGTGTTAATAATCTATCATCCCCATAAAAGTATTTGATACATAGGAAGCCAGCGGTGTTCCTCTTTAAAAATAAAGTAGGTCTTTGGAAAAGTTGCTCTCTGTACATTAGATTATGTAAGAAAATAAATCTTTTGTAAATTGTATCTTTGAAAGGAAATTGTTTTTTCTTATTCTTTTTACTGTGAAGTTCTTGGCTGTAAAGACTAAAGAGCACTGAGGATCTGGACCAGATACCCATTTCTGTTGTGTATGTTTGATTTCATGTTTTGACCTTCTATATATGAACTGCATTTATACAAGATATTCATGTGCAGGTACTCTGTCATGTTGTCCCTTCACTAGTAAAGCTACGGAAAGAAGGTCTGGATGGGTACGAGAAGATTAAGAGTTATATGTGGGTCTATTTATCCATCTTGAGCAGTGAGCTAATTTCTAGCTACGCATTGTTTTTCTTTATCTCTTTTATCTGATTTGTGATTTAAGGAATTTCAACCAATAAGCTGTTCATTTGTTATGCACATTTCAGATGGTGGATGTCATTTGGCTTTGCAATTGTGGAAGCTTTAATAGTTTCTTGTTACTCACTTCCATATTCAATTTATGCTGCCAGTTATAGGTAATCTGTATAGAAGACTATTTTTCTGGCAAAATTTCTATAATCTAACAAATAATTGAAATACCAATGTAATCATAAGCAAGGTTAAATAGGTGATTTTCCATATATTGTATTTCCAATATATGTCTTTGAAAATAAATAATCTTAATGATTGGGGTTGGCTTTCATTACATTATGGAATCACACTTTTTTTTTTCTTTCAATATCATTGCACATTATGAAATTATTATCCTAAATTTTGTTTTTATTTATGCTGTATAATATGGTTCTCTATCCCTTTGTTTGATTATCATAATTTTACGGAATCTTAAATTCGGTGGAAGGTCTCTTGCGCAAATTCTTTGTTTAGATATTTTTGTCTTTGCTAAAATGTTTGCTACTTTATGCAGGGTCAAGCATGTAATGATGACAACTGTTTTGTTGGTTTGTGGTGCAATGACTATTACATGGATATGTGATACAATATCAGAATCTGGATTTGGTATTTTTCTTATCACAGAACTGTTACTCTATCACCTTTGATTGGAGTTGTGGAAGTTAAATTTTAAATTATAACCAAAGCATATGGTGGGAAATTTTAAGGAGGAATTTTTTAAGAAGAGAGAAAACAGGCTAAATTAAGGGAGGTTAGGGATGATTGCAATTAAGGTGACTTTCCAACACACCTTAGGCTTAGGGCTATGGGCTCGAAGTGTGGCAATGTGGGTGACCTCACAATAGATTTAGGATAGATTTTGATATTATCTTAGAATTTAGACTTAAGGCTCAAATCAATCCCACAAAACCAACTTATAAGGTGGCGATTATTCAAGCTTTATAAGCTCTATTTAAATCATATCTCTTGGCTATGCGGGACTAAACACCTCCCTTAGGGCTGCTATTAAGGAAATCTGCTAAGAGGCCACAATTAAGATGGGCTAGGGGTGACTGCAATTATGGCGACTTTCCAACAAATATCAACCGTGTATTTGTAATAATTTTTGGACTAGTATAATCTTGAACTATAAATGACATTTAGTGAGTTTTTACTCATTTGATTTTGTGGTTTTTCCTATGTTACATTGCAATTTCCAAGAAGGGTTATATCTTTTCAAGTTTTGTGATTTTTCAAATTTCATTTGCATGTGTCAAAAAATTATTCACATCTGTGAGCTTTATATCTTTACCGGGTGCAAGAATATTGTAACTTTAACTGTAATTAACAGATACTTATTTGCTATATGCAACATGAGCATTTGCCATTCTTCTGATTGAATTTGTCATGCTACATAGTACCTTTGGAAGTGTGTAATGTAAATTATGTAGAAGAAAGATTCCTTCACTTGGCATGCAATCTGTATTTTTTAAAAGCCTAGTATTTTGTTTATACAGTTGAATAAAGAGGAGAAAATTGTCCTTCCAAGTTAATGGCATAGAACCACCTTGTTCACCCACTTTTTACTTTTACGTTTTTATTTAATTATATTTTCAAATTACAGTTTTAAAGTCAGATTTTATTCAAAATTTGAACTTTAAAGAGTAAATTGTCCTGATATAAATATTTAAATAAGATTTATTTAGTACATACCTAGATCATGTTATTAGTTTGGTAAAACTGAAAATTGTAGAAGTGTTGGAAGAACACTAGAATCATAATTAATCTGACAAGGCTAATTTTGGCTGATCTGGTTGATTTCATTGTTATCACTTTGCCACACTGCAAATGGTTGGAAAATGTTGATTAATTCCGTTTGCTTGAGTTAAGTGATTTGAAAGACGCATCAGACCTTGGATGTCTGCTTTAATCATTCAATTGATGATGCCTTCTTCAGGTCAAGGTTCATCTCTTATCATATGCGTAGGAATACTTACGGGATATATGGAGACACTATACAAAATGCTTACTCAGCTTTCAGGTACATGTCTGGATGCTAATAAGGCTTTTGAAATTTTACCTCATCTCTCATCTCTATGTCCCTCATTCTCAAGCTTAAAGTTTAATATACAAAAGTAGCATGTCTGATATCTCAAAAATTGGGTTTTAGACAATACTAAAATTTTGACTAACAGCATGTTTGATAGCAATTGTTTAAGGGGGATTAGGAGCTGTGTGGTTTAAGAAAATGTTTTTATTTTCTCTTTGTTTTCAAAAGTTTGTACATGAATCAGTGGGAATAAGTTGTTTTCAAAGTTTTCTTAAATAATTTTTTTAAAACAGAAAATGAAATGAAAACAAGGTGATGTTTTTTGTAATTAAAAGTGAAAACAGAACACATTTTTTTCAAAGTTCAGTCTATTATTTTTCCTGAGCTTTCTTAGGAAGCAGACAAAAAATAAGCAATTATTCTCTAAAATAAAATTAGCTGAGCCAAGCACACAGTTTTTTTTTGAGATGCATATTCAATTATTCATTTGATTTTGTTTTGATGATGACAAAATCTATCTCAAGCTTATGTATATATGCCCAAAAATAAAAGAAAAGAAGGACCACAAAGATGAGGAACAAATAATTTTGGTGGAGCTTTTGCATTGCCAACTGTTTTTGACCACCGTATCTATGTGAACTAGATAGCAGTTGAAATATGGAAAAGCTGCAATTAGTTTTGCGTAGACTCTGTATACTTAGAATAATATTACAATAGTGCTTATAAATTTTTTTTTACCAGAGTGTTATACTAATTTAATAAGGTCAAAATATCTAAGGCACTATTATTATATTTATTCATGTAATCATTTGCAACTTTATTGATTTGTATTTCATTATATTACAGTGAGTGCTGTGAGTTGGTGGCCGTATGTGCTTGCAGTATTGGGTATCTTCACCACCGTCACTATGTGGGCAGTTGTAGTAACTGAAGGTTGTAGGAAAGTAAAGCTTCAATACTATGGTTTTAAACTTGCTTCTGCTGCAAGGTAATCACATTGCCTTTGTTCAGACAATTGAACCTTGCTCTCCTTGAGAATGTAGATGTTACTAGAGTTTTGATATTCTCTTGCTCTCATGTAAAACATTATTCTTAACATTTTCTATTGTGGTTGTTCACGAGGAAAGTTGTTTGTTCCTCTGGTTGAGAAAACAGTACATTTGATTGTCCTTTGCTCAATCTCTGGCTTGGATATTAACTTATGTTGGACTTAGCTTATATATTTAATAGACTTTATTTCCCTTATTTATCATGGCAGATCCAGATAGTTTCTATATCTTTCTGATAGAATTAAGTGGGTGTTTGGTACATGGGACGTTTTAGTTTCATAGGAATATGAAGTTAGAATGTTTTTTCCCCATATTTGGTTTATTATTTAAAAAATAACATTTCCTGGAAATATTGTTTTCCTGGATGTTTGTTACCTAGGTTTCCCACAAAATGGTTCTCACGGGGGAGGTAAAAATCTTACTTTCCCAAATTGGGGGAAAGTTTTAATGCAGTAGAATTATCTCATTACCTTTATTTGTTCACTTAATGCAGTAAAAATCTTTGATTCCCAATAAACATATTAACTACTTCCAAAAATATTTATGACTAACCAAACAAATTTTAGTTATTTTTAGGAATTATGATTCCTGAACATGAAATTTTTTTTATCTTCTATCAAACGCACCCTAATTGATATTTTGAGTATACTGATGTTGACAATTGATACTTTCATCTCTTATAATTTGAAACAGGGAGCAATCACCTGTTACTGAAGTGGAGCCCTATATTCCTTTCAATATTAATCCAGCGGGGATGCAACCTGTTCTTACCACCTCTTACCTCTTGGCATTTCCAAGCATTCTTGCAAGGTCAGTATTCACTGTTTTGCATTTCAACTGGTATTCTTGGTTCAACCTTGGTGATTGAAGTTTTTGCTAGTAAATTTGTCTATAAATTTCTGATGCATATAATCTTGGTGCCTTAGCTTGCCTGCTTTTCTCTCTCTATTTGTTAGGAAACATGTTTGTCTGATGCTTGTCACGTCTTGTATAAAAAAGTGATGTTTCTTTTTGATTTACTATAACTTGGTTTCATTGGCAGTCTGCTGAGGTCACCTTTTTGGGAGCATGTCAAGGAAATGTTGAACCCTGAAACTTCTGTTGGTGCTGAGCCATGGGTTTACTATTCCATATATGCCTTTTTTGTCTTCCTGTTCAATATATTTGATATTGTAAGTGTCTCTTTGCTGTTATTATATTAATTTACATTCTATTTTATATTAAACTGTTAGTTTTACTTTACAAGAATATGTGAAGGGAAAGTAGATGGATTAAATATAACGGTGCAGGCGTGCAGCAATAGGCAACCATTATGTTTTAAATACTTTGTCTGAAGACAGATTCTGGTCTGAAATTAAAACATCGCAGAAAAGTTAATTGTTTAACAACCATTGATTACTAAAATGAGTTTTGGCCAAGTTTCTGTGCTAAGTCTCAAAATGTCATGATGTAATCCATAATTTCAAATTTTATTTGCCAAAACATACTTAGGTCCAAATTATGCAAAAATTCCAACCAAAATTTGCATTATATAACTATAAATGTAAACCTAAACTAAACTATTGTATGGAGCCAAGTGGTTGTCTCCATGGTAATGTTGTAGACTGGTTTAGGTTTCAACTGAGAATAGGGAATGGAACAAGGAAAAAGATATCAAATCTGTTCCTTACATATCTATGCAATGATCTGATTCCGAGCTGCTTATTCTGACTATTAATTTTCAACAAAATTGAAAATGCGTTTATTGTAAATCTGTTGAATTGATGCATCACTAAAATTTTTCCTTACTATGTAAAAGTATCGGAATGATTTGTATATATTTTGTAATTGGTCTTTCATGTGGATTGAGAACAGGCTAACATGCCAAAGGAAATTGCTGATTATTTAAATAAGATGGGGGCAAGAATACCAAACATAAAGCCTGGGAAAGCTACCATTGAGTACCTATCTAAGGTTCAGGCATCCACACGATTTTGGGGTACGTTATTGGTGAATGTGTAATTTTAGCTTATTTTGATTTTTTTTTTATCAAATCTAATATTTTTCCTGTTAATTGATATTAATACACTGCCTTGTGAAAATTTTGCAGGGGGCCTATTGTTAAGTGTTTTGGCAACTACATCAAGTGTTCTTGACCACTATTTACGGCGTATAAATGCTGGATTTGCTATTGGTTTTACATCTGTTCTAATTATTGTAAGTGCCAGAAGAATTCCTGTAATTGTACTTAGCATTCAATTGGTAATACCAAATAATCAATCAGGCTAGAAATTCGTGCTTGCTGAACTTGCCTGGCTTTAATTGTTTTTGGTGGTCCAGGTCGGTTCCATTATTGAACTTAGAAGATCGTATCAAGCATATAATGTAATGCCAAGCTTAAGCAATGCTTTGAGACGATATGGGGTATAACTTCTGGAAAAGCTATGCTGTCACTCCCCTGTGCCATTTAATTTGAGCCTCTAGGATGTAGCTTTGGTCAGCATTTGCATTTGGTAAGTAGTATAAATATTTCTGTGCACAGATATTTCAATTCTGATATTGTTAATTGATAAGGACTGCCTATTGTTGAAAGATTTCCAGGAAGCTTGGTTTTTCGGGGACATTACAGACTTACAGTCTAGTTTGCGCGTATAAGAATATCGATGTTAGCTAGTGTTGCTAGTAAGGAGGTGCTAAATGCGGCCTGTGGATACACGATAGTAGCTGATTCAGAAGCCTCGTCTTCTCTCCCGAAGAAATTTGTTTTATGGATTTAGGAACTATTTAGTTAGGTTATAGTTGTAGCTCCATCTGAAATTTGTACAGGAAATTATCGTGTTGTAGACGTCATATGTAATATAAAAATGAGGTGTTCGGATATAGGAGTTGTGATAAAGAAACATTGAGGTTGGAAATGGTCGAGGATGGTGTTGCTGCCATTTTTTGTGAAAATGCGGATTTGGGCCCCTTTACGTGACAATTATGCCCAGTGAAATTTTAGTTCTTAAATTAAAACTAGAGAATTTAAAATTATATAAAAAGGGACATGAGATTTTGATAGTAGCGATTTTCACGGGAGAGAAATCAAGTTAAAATTTCATTAGAGAAAATTCATTCATGTGAGAATGTTATTATGGACGACAATTAGACATTGGAAAACGCTTGCATGCTTGAGAATTACAGGAGCAAGGGACTTCAAGTTTACGAGTCAATTTGGATCATAGATTAAAGTTTGTGATATACACCGAAAAAAGTAGATTAAAGTTTGTATTAAAAATGTTAACTTACTTTTTGGTAGGCCACATGGGTCGACTTATTTAATTTGCATATTTAATATTCTTCAAATCAAGTAACCATGTTTTTTATTTTATTTTTATTTTCTGGACGAATACCAAATCCAAAGTTTGTACTGCACTCGTTATATATTTCATACTAGGCCATTACCTCAAATTCAAACTCTCTTTCCACGTTTGGTGTGTATACTCAACAATTTCTTAGTCATCTAGCATTATATTTTCAAGAATATTCTTACAAGTGGTTATTGCATTTTAACCCAAACAGAATTATATTATGCTAAGAAGAAAATCAACTATCATTCAATTTTTTCTATATCCACTTGTTTTCTCACTTTTTTTTTAACCTATGTTTATTATTTAACTTCGTGGCTTCGTGCCCAGAAAGTGGGCTTGTTTTTTATATTGGGCCAATATGAGGTGGTAGCCGAGCCCACTGATTGGCGGGTCTTGTGTTTTTGAATCGTAGCTTTCAGAACGGAAACGATGACGAACTCACAGGCGGAGATGGATTACGCAGAAATCTACACTGCATCAGATGCCTTGGACGGTTCCACCATCTTTCACACAATCTACGACGTCGTAGGGTTCGTGCTTTACATGCACCAGCAAATCCCCTCGTATGTCCTTTCCTTCACTTCAAAACGCCCAAATAAATTTCCTTTATTATTTATTAACAAATAATCCCAATCATGGTTCCAAACACGTTAATTCGATCGCTTCAATTTCAATTTTTAGTGTTCACTTCATTTAATTTATGCAGCACGGTGCAGGATATGAGCGTCGAATTTGACGAAATGCATTCGGAGTACAAGCAGCTGGTATGTTATAATTCTGCGTGGAATTTTGAATTTCAAATTTCAAATTTCAACTCATTATTGTGTCTTTGTTGTTAACCTCAGGAGACGGCTTTGGGAACTGAAGTGAAGCCATCGTTTCGGAGAAACCACGTTAGCAAAATGAGGGATATCAAGGTGGGAATCAAAAGAATGGATAAGTTGATGAATTCGCTTTCGAACATGCAAACTGCCTTTAAAATTATGATCAGCGAGGTTCCCGCCATAGACGGTGTCGTTTTGGCTCTTGGAGCTAGCCCGCTTCGACCGCAGCATATTTATGTCTTGAATTTTTCCCATGGGATTGATGTTTCCAAGGTTGCCGATGATTTTGCTAGGAGTAAAGCGGCTGAGGGTCTTTCGAGAAAGGTTCCTTATTGATATTTTTATGTTCCGGATTAAGATGCTATGTGCTCTTTGTGAGAGGAAGGAGTGTTGGAGGTTATGTTTTGTGTTTTCTTTAACAGGCCATTCGGACATTGATATCAAAGGGTGCTGGCTCTGTCACCTATCCGGGTACTTATTCACTTTTCTACTTCATAAACATTAAGGTCTTGTTTTTCCATAATTATCTGGTGGAAAACAAAATCAGAATGTAAAATGAATTGGGATCAACTTAATCACTTTCAGCTTTTGTAAAAGTTAAATGAGAGAGCTTCTACAGGTTGATTTTAACTTGTGGGAGATGCTCAGTTCATCTTTTCTTTTTCTTTTTTCTCAAATGCTTATGAAAAAGTTTATCCAAATAGGTCTAATATGGGGATTAAATACTCAAATTGGTCCTCTAGAGATACATGAGCCTTAAAGTTGGTCCTCCATGTTTTGGTCTTTTATGGTGTGAAAGCATCTATTAAGGACCAAGTTTATGTTCATTTAAATTAAACATTGGGGTATCAGATTGATGTCCAAAGTCTTTGTTGGACCAACTTAATGTACTTTGCATTTTTGAAGGACCAATTTTGAATTTTCTTTATATTATCTCCTAATTTTTTTGCTTTGCTTTGTCCTATAATAATGCCACTGTTATACTTTACCTGCTTTTGTGTAGGTCCTATCAGATTGTTTGTGTTAATTAAGGCCCCTTCTTCTTTCAATCAGCCTATGCATTTTCTGCCTAAACGTGATTTTAGGTATAGCAGAAAGGTAAAATAGAGTATGAAGACATATTGAATTTATGATTGTGTTTTTTAGTGTTGTAAGTATGAGATCGTTTCTGTTTTCATATTGAACTGTGTGCTGTATTTGTTAGTGGAGCATTTGTGATGCTCACGATTTCTTTATTTGGTAAAGAAGATGGCAATTGCTGTGTATATGGCACTCATTTTGTTTCATCAGTCACAGACAGACACAGTGATTATTATTTTTTGCAAAAACATTAATAAGGGGATCGAACCTTGTGAAACTTGTGTCAATTTTCTGCTCAAACTATTTTTAAGACTACTGACATTTCTCCATAAAGATCATATCTTGATATTTCTTCATAAAAATCATCATCATTTATTAGAATTGATTCAATTTCAACTGAAGACCAGACTTTCTCCCTTCTAATATCTTAAGCTATTTATATGACTGTTGTTGTCGTTATACATATTGATTTCCTATGAAACTCAAACAATTATTTTCCTGGCACTATGATAGGCTTAAGATGATTTAGACAGTAATAAGCAACTTCACTGTAGATGGATATATTGCTTTTCTTTGAAAGCTTCCAAACTCCTTGTACGACTTGTATTTAATATAATTCATAAATTCTATTTGTCAATGACTTTAGTTTTGCTCATTTTTGTTATAAATATTGTTTACTACTAGCAGCCTATTATGATCTCATCATATAATTCTATAAGTGAATTTTTTGGGAGGTATCGTTTCATGAGTTCCTGGAAGCTGAACTGCATTTCCACTATAGGTTGTGCCTCTCGGGCTACAGTTTAAGTGCCGAAACCAGGATCAGGAAGTGGCCGCCACTACTTCAGAAGATTTGATCTGGTATCTTTCACAAGTTATGAATATGCATCTTATAACAATAAAATTTTTTTTTTAGATGAATTGCCTTGATGTTACCTACCAAATTCAAATTGCCTATTCCTTTACCAGTCTTGACTTAGGTTTGTTGGTTGGAAGTGAAATTCCAGTAAACATGTTCCTTTTCCTTCAGATATACTTCATTTTACATATTATAGTTGTAGTCAATTCTTTCATTCTCTTTTTTCTATCTTTTTTTTTTCAAAAATTCGTAGTACAGTGGGGATTTTTATGTCTAAGCTGATCATTACAGTTTTCCAGGGGTCATAAATTTTCCTTGCTGTTTGACATTTGTGACCTCCCTAAAATAGCATTCTATGCTATATCTACTAATCATATAGTTTTCCTCTAATGATGCAGTCTCTAATCTAGTCTTTTTCCCTCCAATGTATGACCCTCATATCATTCGTTGTTACTTTTGAATGATTTACATCCCTGGCTTCCTTACAGGTTTCAATGTCGACATGTGATAAAAGGCCTTGCAATGAACACAACACCAGACGAATGAAATCCTCAACTTCAAATTAAGGTAGGGAAAACATGTAAATATGACTCATGCTTGAAGCTAATGTTTCCTTCTATTTTCTTTACGATTTGAGATTGTTAAGCACGGATGTCATTATTAGACAACATTTTGGACCAAGACTATATTATACTACAAATATTGGCCTGGTAAGAAATGTTACGCATTTGAGGATTACTGCTATATTAAAAAAGAAAACACCATTAGGAAAAACGAAAATCGCGACAGAGAACACATACAGTTTAACTCAACGAATATGGAGGTTGCGATTAAATTCTACAGTAATTTACTAAGATTTAGTGTTTATTGTTTAGCACAGGTAGCCAAGGGTGCTTTTCATCGGTGACATGTAATGGGTTGGAGTCTGGAGAGCACAGTCTGCACCACCCTCAAGGAATTTAATTTTCAAAATGTACAAGGATTAGTTAAATGTTAAATTTCAGTTGATAAGAAATATGTTAAAAAATATCTTAGAGTTAAAGTATATTACTATCGTTTCCTCGGGTGGAATATGTTCTTAAATAATTTCAATTGTCGGTAATCAATGTGAAGATGTAATAAATGTAACAAAAGTATTATTAATGGTATTTATAAAATATACTAACAAAAATACAAAATATTTTGCTCAAAAAAATAATTTCTACCAACGATTATTTTCTAGGATTTTGACATGTATACACAAACGCATAACTTTCTATCTAAATAATTGCCACATAGAATTTTATACATATATACATAACATCATTTAGCCACTAGTAATACCCCACCTGCAATCCTTCGACATTCTTCATCTTTTTCTCTTTTTTTTTGGACATAAATTCTAGAGATAATAAATTGATGGTGGTTAATTTTGTGATGGATTATAATGGATTGAATAAAAATAATTTATTAATTCATTTGATTTCATTAAAAAATTACTTAAAAATCTTATCATTTAATTTATTCAAAGAAAAAATTCACTCAATCTATTTACATTTTTACATAATTTTTTAAAATTTACAAAACATTTTTTAATATCACAATAATCTTTTATATTTCAATCCAATGAACATTTCATATTATAATATAATGAATTTTGAAAAATAATGAATGTATTGTTAATCATTCATAAAATTAAATTAATAAATTTGATTTGATACATTATTTATTTTTATTGTAATAAATAGATTACATAAATTTACTTGTAAACAAATTGGATAGATAATGAATAAAATATATTCTTTTTTCAACTTAATAAATTCCTTTGACATTCTTCCTAAGTCGATTTTCCTTTCAACCAACTTTGAGACGTTTGCAAATAACTTATTTCAATTCCAAGTTTGTCCTCTCAAAATTCCTTCTCAATATCTTTCTTTTGTATATATATGCCTTCAAATATTTCTTAAGATCTAAAGTTAATTTGATTCTTGTTTAGGTCTTTGAAATTCATTTACGCAGCAACATCAGATAACGCCATTTTAAATATTATGCTAAGAATTTCGATTTATTTTTAACTGTATTGCTTTTTTGTTTATAAACCTTATGGATATTAAATATATTATGTATATCAGTGTTTTAAAAAGCAAGTGATTGATTCGATCAAATTACTGAATTAATGGATTAGTCAGTTACTCCTTAAACAAATGTTGGTATTATTTAATATATAATTTGTCACTTGTTATATTATTTAATATAAATTTTTTTTATTGAAGATATGATTAAAAAATTATATTTGTCATACAAATAAGAAAAGTGTTGGTATAGTAGTAATTAAATTCATCTCTAACACTGGTATGAATATAAGTTTTTATTAGCATGGTAATTTATTATGAAATATAATGGGTAAATACATTGGATTATCATGTATTTGATATCACAACTAGATAAGAATTCACGCATCCAATATTCAATACAACAAAATATCGCACATAATCAATGTTCACGGTAACAATTTCCTTACACGATCATTCTATCACAACATTATTAGCCTAGAAGTGTGAAAATATATTACATGCAGGGGCCAACTAAAAGATGACAACCACGAGTATGGCACTCGATCCCCTCCATGCAAGTCCATGATATTTTACATGATCTAATGTACTTAGTACACCAAACATAAAATGAATTAAATTTCTACACAAACTTATTCGATATTAACACACACATACACTGTTCAATTCATCCTCGTGCCAATGCATGCATGCATCCCAAGTCCAACGCACATTTATATATGTTGCTTTTAAAAATGATCACTGCAAACAAGTGTGTATGGCTCATTGGAAACAAGTGCGTATGGTTCATGATGAGGTATAACCTGGTTAAGAGCCTTCTTCACTTCCACAATGCTAGCTTTTTTCCCGTTACTACTTTCCCTCACCTTTGCCCTCATTTCCGCCACAAAAAACCCATCATCCTTAACCCAAGACTGCACCATTATCACTTCCACCCCTAACTCCCTCAACAGTGTCATCAAATCCAGCAACAATCCTTCCCTGTGCACACACTCCACCTCCAACAATGCCTCACTCTCTATGATCGAAACCTCCACCTCCCTCACCCTCCTCTTCCTCGCGTGCCCCTCACGTGCCTCCAGGCTCTCAATCTTCTCCCGCAGCTGTTTAATGTACTCGATGGTGTCACCCAGAATGGACGCCTTGTCCATTCTGGTTACAAAAGGCACCATCGACCGCAGAATGAGAAACCTCTCATTCAACTTCTCCCGACGGCGGCGTTCCGCCATCACGTGGCTGGTCTCGTAGGGTGTCGCCGCCACCTTCCCCTTGTGCCGGTTGGCGTGCAAGTAAGGGACACTGAAGAGAATGTACTTGAGGAGCCATTGGGAGGTGACGTCGGCCACCGCCACTTGAAAG